CAACTTTAGTACGCGGAGCAATCTGTGGAGCTGGAAGCTGAGAACTGGCGACTTTGTAGTACAACTTGAGTACGCGGAGTCTCTGGGGAGCTGGAAGATGAGAACTGGCGATTTTCTAGTACAACTTTAGTACGCGGAGTATCTGGGGAGCTGGAAGATGAGAACTGGGGACTTTGTAGTACAACTTTAGTACGTGGAGCAATCTGTGGAGCTGGATGGAAGCTGAGAACTGGCGACTTTGTAGTACAACTTTAGTACGTGGATGAGTCATCTCTCGCGGCTGCTCTGGCGCCCCTGCAGCTGAGTCATGTCTCCCGACCCGGCTCTCTTGAGAGGTTGACACACACACAGAGACCCACGCACTGCCTCAACTTACTCGGACACACGCACAGACAGAGACTCATACACACACAGACATATAATACACACACACACAGAGACCCACACACTGCCTCAACTCACTCGACTTAACGCTTCACACTGAACACTTAACAGATAACTCACACTCTGACTTCCTACGTGATGAAAAATGCTTTCGGGCCCCTCGTCGTCTAGTTGTTTTTGCTTGTTTCTTCGGTTTTGACGCCTGGAGAACACAAGCAATCGACTCGGCACGTCTGACGACCTCACCGAGGTGAGGCCTTCTACTCGCCAACAACAACGTCGCCGGGGACGCTTCGTTGGGCAAAGCTGGGAACGGATCCGTGCAGGTGGGGTTCTACATGGGAATTTCTCCGTTGGAGCTTCTTCTGATTGGTCACTTTCCCCATGTTTTTCCATTCATACTATTTCATACTCAGTTTCCCCTTAAATTATAGTGATGTGCTTGTGATTAACTCCGCGCGCATCCCGATCGAAATGCAAATCCTGGTTGAGAGGGGATTGGGATAGATTGGGACCCTTGAGTTTTGAAGTGGTTCTTTTTTAGACGGAAGGCGGGAGAATGTGTCTAAAAGCGGGCCACTTCAGTCCCACTAGAAAAGCATACGTACAAATGCACAACGGGGGACATCACAACTTCAGTCCTCGCAGCAGGCCGTCAAAGGCGACCATTTTGTTGGGTTCAATCCAAGGATCCCCAGCTGGTGCATTACTGCACTCCGAAGCTGATGCGATGGAAAGAGACAAAATGGAGCGACAGCTCGTTGGCGCAGATCAATATGTATGGTTTGTCCTCCAGGGCCTAAAGCATTGCACTCAGGCCTTCGAAGGGCCAAACTTCCAAGTCCACTTGTCTAGCTTGGGAGATCCTTTGGATATGTTTGGATCATCACTTCTTTGCCTCCGCAGCAGCTTGCGTGAATTGTGCTTGAGGTTGCTCCGTGCTGCCGGCATGAGCAAATGGTCAGCATGGTTGTGTTTCCAGACTTTCCCAGTACTGATTGCCGACCTCTCATCCGCGCCAGGCAACAGAGCATTGCCAAATGCCAGGAACTTGCGTGGAGAGTTGGCCCCTCAATGGCCTGGAGCATACGCTAAAGGTGGCCTCGGACTTTTTGATGCGCAAAGCATCAATGTGTAACCCCCAACTGGAATCAAGATGAACAGAAATTATCCCTGTCGATCAAGTCACACCATAACGACCTGGCACCCCGACGACCCAAGGTCTCCTCTCCATTTGGCCTGCGACCAGTCCAGCGTTGAGCTGACAAGGCTGGATGGGTTGAAGGGACGCGACGTCGCTTTCACGTCGAGCAACGGGGAAGTCTGCAAATGATCATAGTGGTCTTTGCTGGTGCAGTTGTATATGAGGAGGTCTTGTACGGGCACTGTGAAGTGTGAAGCATTATGCACATATAGATGGACTCCAGACTTCTTTTTCTCCCCGACGTAGCCCAATTTGCCAGACCCTCCCGCAGGCTATTGCTGTCCGCCAGGGCTGATCCAAGGACAGGATTGGGGTTTTGGTCAGAGGTTGCCCAACATGAGGTTGTACCTAGTGAGACTGAAACTGATAGAAAGACAGACAGTAGAAAATCCATCCCCTTTAACATGCTCAGAGACGCCTTCCAAACGGACGGGCAGAATATATATAATCAGACAGATCGACAGAACAGAACTCTACCAGGGACGGCTCCTCTCGAGACTGTGAAATCGCCGGACCGGCCCAAAAACGCTGGAGCGTTCAATTGTATTTCAACTGCAACCCTTGGAAGAATGGCGCTGGAGCGTGTGATTGGAACAGCATGTGAACAAACGTTGCTCCGACCGAGAGACCGAAGTCGCAGGCTTGGCGACCTAGAAGGCAACCGAGTGAAGACCTTAGAGACTCCAGATCGAGCGTCTCCGCTCGGTCTCCGCTCGGTGCCGAAGTGAGGTGCCAATGTTTGTGGCCGGAGTGGTCGCGAAAGCAGAGTGATCGCTTGGTCAACTTGGTGTTTTCCTGTGTTCGTTGGTCAACATGGATGGCAAGATTCCGACCTGGCCTCTGTAGGATTTTTCGGAACCATTTTAAAAATAAGCAGGGGCACGGAAACAGGTGACGGAATTCATAAATCGTTAGCAGACCGGCTACGACTTCGATGCCGAAAGGCAGTTGAATCCGGTACGCTTTAGTTGCCACAACGTTGACGTGCGTTCTGCATGTGGGTCCTTGACGTTGATGGTGGGTCGGAGCCGGAGCGGACCACGTTCTGCGCCCATCATACTGGCCCGATAGCGGGGTGGGGGGGTTTGTCGTCTCAATTTCGGGGGGGGGGCAGTATTTAAAAAATTTGGGGGGGTGGCTATTAGGGTGCCGGGGGGGGGGCGGACAAGCGGTTCTGGTTTTGGTTATCTAAATGCCTTGTCGTAGTACAGGTTTTGGCTAAAATCTTTCTCATTTTCTTGTAGCACAGGTTTTGGTTAAAATCCTTCTCATAGCACAGATTTGGGTTAAAATCCTTCTCGTAGCACAGGTTTCCTGTAAAAGGCTTTTCGTAGCACAAGTTTGCTTTAACACTGGTAGCACAGGTTTTCTTTAAAAGGCTTCTCGTAGCACAGGTTTCCTTTAAGAG